ATGGATAAGTGGAAGAGACAAGTTGGGAAGCTTGAGAACCAGCAAGAGATGAAGGTCGCTTGGGCCAGGATGGAGCAGTGGATGTGGAGAGCAGCGGATGTGGAGAGCAGCACACCACACACATCTGAGAATGATTTCAGACGTAGGTGCAGGACTCAGTGTTTCCCTCCCTCTTTCCTCCTAGCTGCTCCTCCCTTACTGCTCCCACCTGAGCTCACAGATGCCCCACACCTACAGTCTTCATCTGAAAACCTGTGAGAAAAGATTATTAAGTCTAAATTTTGGAGTGGTTACACAGCAATACTGTAGCAATAGGTAACTAGTGTGCACAGGCAAAGATGGGGGTAAAACCAACACACGTTCACAATTGTTCAATGTGACATTAATTGTAATAGCAAAATTTTGGAGACCATTTAAATGCCTGTTATTGAACAGATTATGGTATGTCCACACATGGAGTATTACACAGCTGTAAAACACAGAATAAAGAAGACCGTTATGAGCTTATATGAAGTGACTTCTAGATGATATTTTAAGGTTAAAGAAAAAACAGTGCAAAAGAGTATTATGAAGGATGTTATCTTTTGTGTGAGGAGGAAGGGGAAACACATACATTTTTTCAAAAAGAAATGTAAGAAGGGTAAACCAGAAACAAATACAATGGATTTTTTTTTTTTTTTTTTGAGACAGGATCTCGCTGTTACCCAGGCTGGAGGGCACTGGCACAATCGCAGCTCACTGCAGCCTCCACCTTCCAGGCTCAAGTGATCCTCCTACTTCAGCCTCCCAAGTAGCTATGCCTACAGGCATGTGCCACCATTTTTATTTTAAATTTTATTAAAAATTTAAATATTATTTTTTACCTGAACTACACAGATGTAAAAAATTTTATTTTTCTAAAAAGATGCAACAAATTACTTCTTACTGTAAATGACAATTTATAATTGTATAAATTTATGGGTTACAAAATGATGTCATAATCTGTGGCTACAATGTGGAATAATTAAATCAAACTAGTTAACATATCTATCACTTCAAATACTTAGCATTTTGTAGTGAGAACATTTGAAATTTACTCTAAGCAATTTTGAAATGTATAATACTCTACTAACTATATTCACCACACTGTGCAACAGAACTCAAAAAAATTATAAAATGTATTCTTCCCGTTGGAGATTTTGTACTCTTTGACCATCATTTAAATTTTTTAAATGCAATAAAATACCAATTTCAAAACAGCATGAAAAATTGAGTGTGTTTAACCATACTCAGCTGATAATAGGGCAAATGAGTTGAACAGAATAACATTCTATTGCATGTTTAATGAACTGGCAACAAGAGAAAGTTGGTGGAAGAAAGGCAGAGGAACTTGGGCAAGAATTAGAACCCAGGGGCTCCACAATCATCTGACATCAGTTCCCACGTTCTCTCTGTGGTTAGAAATGTACGTGATAGGAACTCCAGGAGTCTTAGGGTTCTTCTTTCAAGGTCCCAGGTTTGTGGCTACAGCATTTATGCCGAGTTACTCTCTGTGCTAAGCAGTCATCTGCATAGATTCCCTCCTGTGCATGGTAGTTTGGTAATCGTTCAAATTTCGGATCCTTGGCGATCCTTTAAGCCACTTGATATTTCTGCCCCATTTTCTCAGTTTCAGCCATTACACAATCAGTTATACAAGGGATACACCTGGCATATAGACAGTTCATCACTGACTGCAGTATGTCTAGTTTGGCTCTAATGGAAAAGTTGGTAACACTGGAATCAAACAGGATGTGGTAAAGTAGACCCAGCTGTGTAATATATTGGAAAAATAAGCAGGAAGGGTATTGGGGAACTTTTCTTTCCTTAATAATGCTGGGATATTTCTTTTCTTTTTAGGTCTTTATCATTTTATTTAAGCCTGTGGTATCAGAGACTAAGCATTCGCTTCCTGGTCAGACTTCCTTGTTTTCTTTTGCTCTCCCATGCTCATGTCATACTCTTGTTTATTTTTTTAAGACAGGGTCTCACTCTGTCACCCAGGCTGGAGTGCAGTGGCTCAAACTGCAGTGAAGCGTCAACCTCTCAGGCTCAAGCAATCCTCCCACTTTGCCTCCCAAATGGCTGGGACACAAGCATGCACCACCACACCCAGCTAATTTTTTTATTTTTATTTTTGTAGACACAGGGGTCTCACCATATTGCCCAGGGGTCTCAAACTCCTGGACTTCAGTGATCCTCCCACTTCACCCTCCCAAAGTGTTGAAATTACAGGCATGAGCCACCGCGCCCAGCCTATTTTTACTTTTATAGAGACAGGGTCTCACTATGTTGCCCAGGCTGCAATTGGTTTGCTACAGGGAATGGTTGTTTTTTTGTTTTTGTTTTATTTTTATTTATTTTTTGAGACGGAGTCGCACTCCGTCACCCAGGCTGGAATGCAGTGGCGCAATCTCGGCTCACTGCAAACTCTGCCTCCCGGGTTCACGCCATTCTCCTGCCTCAGCCTCCCAAGTAGCTGGAACTACAGGCACCTGCCACCACGCTGGGCTAATTTTTTGTATTTTTAGTAGAGATGGCGTTTCACTGTGTTAGCCAGGATGGTCTCAATCTCCTGACCTCATGATTCGCCTGCCTTGGCCTCTCAAAGTGCTGGGATTACAGGCGTGAGCCACCGCATCTGGCCATCTAAACTTAACTATCTCCCAAATGTCCCATTTCCAAATGTCATCACATTGGGGGTTAGGGCTTCAACATATGAATTTTAGGGGGATATAATTCCGTCCATAGACTTTTCTTTTTTGGTGGACCTGGGTGCTGGGTGTGGTCATTACTATTGGAGTGTCATTGCTCTCATGTCAGTGCAATGGACTATACGTACCTACATACATACAGAAACATTTACATCTATCTCTATAGATTGAAAAACGAGTTCACACTGATATCTCCAATTTGACACCACACGGTTTATTCTAGTTTTCTCCTTTCCATATTTATGGGAGCCAGGTTTTTATGAGACAACTATATTGGGAGATAATTCCGTGTCTCTCATGCTTCTGGGTGTCTTGTGGGCTGAGATGTTGACAGATTTTGTTCCAGACTATTTCAAGGATTTTTTTTCTTTTTTTTTTTTTTTTGAGATGGAGTTTCACTCTTGTTGCCCAGGCTGGAGTGCAATGGCGTGATCTTGGCTCACCGCAACCTCCGCCTCCCGGGTTCAAACGATTCTCCTGCCTCAGCCTCCCGAGTAACTGGGATTATAGGCATGTGCCAACATGCTTAGCTAATTTTTGTATTTTTAGTAGAGACAGGGTTTCTCCATGTTGGTCAGGTTGTTCTTGAGCTCCCAACCTCAGGTGATCTGCCCACCTCGGCCTCCCAAAGTGCTAGGATTATAGGCGTGAGCCACTGTGCCCAGCTGTTTCAAGGATTTTTGTATAGCAAATGGCCTTAGAAGACAGAGAGAGTATCTCCCCAAGATTGTGGTTCCTTAACAGTGATGCAAACCTGCTGTGTGTAACACTTGCCTGGGCCTGCCAGTGTTGCCCTGTGGGACTTGGAGGGCAAGTGGGACCAAGGCTAACACACTGCCTGCTGTGCCCTGAGCAGTAGTCTCTGCCCAAGTAATCTTGTGTTTTCTGCCAGCATTCATGAAGCCGGCTCCCTAACATAAGAAGTTCTTGAAAGTTCTGCTCAGCTTCTTAGCCTCTCAGCTGCCTCTTCCAGAATCAGCAGGTGCCCTTATGGGAAAAGTGGCTCTAAGTCCCAGCCTCACTTCTCTGAGTTTCCTTCTTGTCCGGAATTTTGGTTCTATATTGCCAGCTGATGTTTTAGACAGATGCTGTTTATATTTTGCACAGCTTTTCTAGCTGTTCTCTTTGTGGATGTGGTAAAGTAGACCCAGCTGTGTAATATATTGGAAAAATAAGCAGGAAGGGTACTGGGGAACTTTTCTTTCCTTAATAATGCTGGGATATTTCTTTTCTTTTTAGGTCTTTATCATTTTATTTAAGCCTGTGGTATCAGAGACTAAGCA